TGACAATTTTACCCCTTGGTCTAATTTTGGACCATACCAAAGGCCCAATTCCATCTTATCTTTTCCCGACCACTATTGGCCCACTAAAAGCCCACTAATGTCCCAATTTTCTAAATTGGTCCCAATTATTCAAATGGGCATTTTCACAAGCCCAATAAATCCTTAGCCCAAAATAAATAATTCGAGTGGCCTAATATGGCCCAATAATCTAAGTCTCAGTTCTAGGCCCAGAAACTTTGCTCCACAGCAGGTCATGGGGCCCAACTATCCAGGCCCAAACTTCTAAGGCCCAAAAGCCCAAGTTCACTACTCTACATGCGTACATGCGGCGTACCTGGCACGTACGCCCAACATACGCTGGCCTTAAGCAAAACAGGAAGTTGACCCAGTACGCACAGAGTACTAGGGTGTAAGCACGACATACCGACCAACTTCCTTGGGGATTCATTTGTGACTTAATCCATTATGTCCTCATGTTCAGAATGTAGATCCAGGTCCTTTAAGGCATCCTAGTCCATAAAGTCACAAACTTTATGTGCTTGCATGCATGGTTGGGATCAAAACATGATTTTGGTCCTTAACCCAACTTTGTGACCTTCAAACACTTACATGGTTGTGACTTAACCATCAAGGTCCGATGTTTATTACTCTAAGTGCTTCTAAGAGCCAAAAAGGACAGCTCTCATGTTCTGAAGCAATCAAGATTCATGAAACCTCAACAATGGAATCCAAATGTAACATCCGGATTTTACCAGGTATCTTGTAAATCTAATTTTGCCATATTGTGAGAGGGACTCGGCGAGTTGGAGCTCAGACTCGCCGAGTAGAGACGCGGAATTGAACATTGGTGCGCGCCTGGACTCGGCGAGTCCAGGATATGGACTCGGCGAGTCTGCGCTGTGTAATGAAACCCTAAATCTCCGGGTTTGAGGCCTATTTAAAGGGCCTTATGGCCGTCATTTGTGCTCACCCAACCCTCAGTGAGTGACCCTTGTGTTCTTGAGCTATTTGTGAAGAGAAAGGAGCCATTCTTGATCTTGTGTGTGTTATTTAGCAAGAAGAAGGAGACCCTAGGCAAGAGGAAGCAAAGGAGGTTGCTATTTCGTGGATTTGGAGCTAAGATCATCACTCTAGAGGTATTATCTCGGACCATTTTCTGTTTAGTGAAGCATGATGCAATTTAGGGCTTGTGGTGGTCATTTATGGGATGATTTGATGCCCATTGGTTCCCTCTTTGAGTTGAGGCCATGGATCTGGATCCATAGAGGTCCAGAGAGCCTCACTCATCAAGCTTTATGAGTGACAATAGAGTCTTTGACCTTGTGTTGTAGTATTTGAGTCATAAACATCATATATGGTCATATAAAGGTTGTATGTGCATCAAGATTGTAACTTTACGTGCTAAATGAGCTTGGAGGGACTGGATCTATGGATTAATGAACTGGATCTGACCTTTAGAGCAAGATTGAGTCAGTGCATGGCATGGACTCGCCGAGTCCGAAGAGCAGACTCGCCGAGTTGGGAAAGGTGGACTCAGTGAGTCAAGGGGGAGTCAGAATGGACAGGTGGACTGAGTCTAACTGGACTCGCCGAGTTGTTCTTGAGACTCGGCGAGTTGAGTCGTGGTGGCCCCACAACTCGTGCCAGGTGGAACTCGTCGAGTTGAGGGAATGCTCGACGTGTCAAGGGAGGATTCCAGGGAAATTGGTGTACACGCCCAGACTCGCCGAGTCGCCTGGGTACTCGCCGAGTCCGGTCAAAGTTGACCGTTGACCAGCGTTGACCTAGATTGACTTGTTATAGTGTGGTCAACCCTAGTTGGGAAAGTGTTAATTAGAGGTGTATTGTGCTATAGGGGGACGACAGCTCGACAGGTCGAGTGATTAGCGATTTCAGGTTTACGATTTACCGAGACACGCGAGGTGAGTCTTCTCACTATACTTTACCTTGAGTAGGTAACCAGAGTTATGTGATAGAGTATTTGTATGCTATGTATGTTATGTGTTGTACTGCATTACTTCTATGTGTTTGATGTTGTGCATGTTTACAGAGTTAGAACCGGAAGGTTCACAGAGTTAGAACCTGAGGGTTCACAGAGTTTGGGTGCACGGACCCACAGAGTTATAGCCTCGAGTGGCTAATATGTGTTATATGTAGTATTTTGGGGAACTCACTAAGCCTTGTGCTTACAGTGTTGATGTTATTGTTTCAGGTACTAGTGACGATCGCGGGAAGGCGCCGGCTTGATCCGTACACACACATTCGGAGCTTGATATCATGATCTTGGGATTTTGTATTGTCTTGTTTGGATAATTAAAATGGTTGTTTAATGAATACCAATGGAATTATGTTTTATAAAAATTGAAAATTTTGTTTTGAAAATTTTCGGTGTTACACCAAAAGTGCCATAAAACACCCAAAAATCCAATCTAAATATACAATGATCAAGTTTGAAGCTTGATACCTCAAATATGTCAGATAACATGCTAATCTCCTGGATCTAGAAGCTCCCTTTGAATCCTTGCTCCTTCTTCAAACTTCTTTCTTTTATAAACACCAAAACAACACTAAAATGTTCTAAATGGCTTCCAAATCACAGGAATACACAAATATCAGTTAGACTTTTGGTGGTGGCTATCTAAGGGTGAGAGGGAGGCTGGACCAATGGAATAAGGTCCTTTATATAAGGATCAAACCCTAAAATTTAAGGTTTTAGAAGCTGCATATGTATGCTACGCGTACTTGTGGTACGTTGGGCGTACATGCATGGCTTCCGCGTTCTAGTCTCTTGAGTATGCTGAGCGTACATGGCAAGGTATGCTCCGCGTACGGTGCTTCCTCGGCCCAATTACAAGGGCCCAAGCTCTAAGACAGAACCATTTAAAACTATTAACCTTATATAAATAAATAAAAATAGTACCTTATAAATCTCGGATGTTACAAAACCATATATAGTATAAGGTGTATTTTAAATATTTTCAAAATACAAGGTTTAAGTATGAATTATATAAATTATATTATAATTAATTAATCAATTTAAACATATAATGAATTTATAATTATCCTTTAATTACATTATAATTATGGTTTTATGGATTATCACACAATGCATTCAAAATTTGGAATTTAACAAAATAATATAGGATAATTACCAAAAATAACACCATAAATTTTATTACAGAGAAAATTATCTAAAATCTGGAAAAAATTGTGCTCATGTCGTTAGAGCTATACTCTCACGTCGTGAGATCAATGTTTAGCGAGAAATATTTTTAGTTTGATTCAACTCATACAATTAGGGTTTTATAGAAAACAAAATTATACAATGCGGAAAACAATTAACAATTAATAAGGTGCATGTATCCTATAAAAGATTTATATAATACATCTTCATGGATACATATAATGAGCAACTAAACCTATCATAACCCTAGTGTAATTCGAAATTACCAAGTATAGAGTTACATACCCTTTGATTTGTTGTAGTAAAAAATTACTTCAATTTTATTGTAGTATAGGTCTTGTAAAGCTTAGCACCAAAAGGATGATGCCTCTAATTCCTCACATCCAAACCCTAGAACTAAAAGATAAGAGGAGAGAGGAATGAGGAGATTTTTGGCTAGTGTATCTTCCAAGAAAGAGTATGCATGAAAATTATAACCATTAGGGTCTTATTTATATTTTAGGTTACTTAGGAACAAAGCAAGATTTAAATGATTAAATAACCACAAGAAAAAGAACCTTTTACGATGCGCAAACCACGACACTCATTGATTTATGTTATGCAAAAGAGAGTGCAATTAAAAAAGTGTCATCTTTTCAAAAAATTTAAGGATTTACGTCACACATTATTGTGTGCCCTTAAATTAGTGTCTCAAGAAAAGAAATTAAAAACACGGAGGGCACTTTATTTTAAAGGTGCATCCTCTATACCTGTCGCTTTATAATTTTAATAAAAATGCGCGTTTAGTAGATGTGGGAAACGAAATCCCCAAAATTTTGAAAACTCGTCTTCTACCTTGTTTCTATCTTTCATCTTCTCCCCTCTCCGATCCGCTTCTCCGCCACTCCTAACCTGCTTATCGATCTCATCAAACATCGTGTCCCCTCCTTAACACCTCGCAGGAATCTAAAAATTAGAAAACCCCGTCCTCAAAAAGTCTAAGAAACTATAGATCGATCTCTATCGCTTGATTTCTTACAGGAAATCGAACACTTTACATTCATCGGGCCACAATTGCAAGGATCCTCACTCACATTTCTAGAGAATACCTTTGCATATATAACACAATCATCTTCACGAAAATGGCTGCCACCATTGCTTGAGTCGGCTCAAGCTACGATCGACAATCGGAGCTCAAAGCTTTCGACCAAACAAAAACCAGCATCAAAGGCATCGTCGATGCCGAAATCCAATCGAAGCTAGGGCTTTTTGTGAAGAACTTGCCCCGCCTCTCTCTACTGCGCGTTCTCTCTTCCGTATCTCCACCCTCCAATGAAATCCAAACACCGACGACTCTATAACAGTTCTTTCTCATGCTCGAACCCTAGACCTCACCTTGTACCTTGCTACATCTCTATAGCGACAGCGGCTCAACAGAAACTCCACCACCTCTAACGGCGTCTCGAACCCATTGATTATTTCACTTTCCTCCTCTGTTTGGGGGATGAAAACTAATGACGAATAAACAACTTCATTTTGCGATTCAATTGCTTGATTTTTTCGATTCGTATATGATTGCATCAGCAGCTGATCCAGTCTTGCACCAAAATCTCTTTGAAGGAGATTAGAGACTGTTCATCTACAATCACGAATGACATCTACACCCTCGTCCAAAATCACTTGATTTATCTACCTGTTTGTAAGTTGTGCGAGTTCAAATCTATTGTCATTACTATTATCATCACTTGACTTTGTCGATTCGTATATTATCATCTGTTGTGTTATCCTCCACATTGATAACTAGGATCTGAATTGTTTTATATGTTTGGAATTGCAGATGAAACCATTATCTAACATATCATTGAGCAGTATTGGATTTAGTCTCCATCGCAGGCCTTATTACCTCAATGCCACTATTTGCTTCTCATTGGCTGCCAGATCATATAATGAATTCCATCTTCCCCGTAGGTTGTATCAGTTCTTTAAATTTGTATTCTGTAAAATTTTGTGTTTCTTTTTTGCTTTTGAATAAACTTTTTATTGTTGCATAGGTACTAATCCTCAAGCTGATAGCTTGACTGCTATATTTGCTGCTCTTAATGACAAGGTATACATTAGTTGGTTGATGCTTATTATGTACACACCATATCCTCTCTCCACTTGAGACTTCTTCTTCTTCTTCTTCTTCTTCAGGAACATGGTCCTCTCATTCTCATTACTTGCTATAACCCTATAATAAATAACCCAAACATACAAACATAACTATTAATTAGTAATTATTAATATTTAATAGAAAGAAATCAAATTATTAGAATAAATGACAGTGAACTACCTGTTGGTTTCTGGAAGCCCTGTTTCAGAAGGTTTTCAATCTTTCAACAATAACACAATCCAAAAAGACATAAATACCCTCCTACTTACTTCTTGAGCCTGAGCCGGGTTAGCAACCTTTCCGGTTCCAATAGCCCAAACTGGCTCATAAGCCAGGACAACATTATCCCAGTTTTTTTATCTTATCTGCAAATTAAAAAAAATTCATGAAAATGATAGATGTTTGTTACTTTCACATTGTAAAAAAATGATTAAACAATTTAAAAATGAAAAATAAAACATATATTCATTTCCAAATCACCTGCAATTGCCTTAGTTTGTGCAGCAACAACTTTCATAGTTGTTCCAGCTTCCCGCTCTTGAAGAGTCTCCCCAACACAAGCAATCACCTTCAATCCTTGAGAAAGCGCATAGGCAACTTTGTCTCCAACAAACTGATCAAACAAGTAATTTGGAAAAGGTAAAGATAAATCATAATCCTATTAACGTCTTCATTATCAGATGGGGAAAAGATCTAAGATTTATAACTGAAACTTCTCACTTGTATTTTCAGGTGCAGTCTTGCAAGTTTGTACCCTTAGTATACCAACTTGCTTCAAGGCAGGGTAGCTCAAAAGATAGCCAGGGAGCTAATATTTTCCATGTTAGAACATTGGAGTTCACAGGTGTTCATAGGTGGGCCAAGAGTAGATGAAGTTCCTCTTATTTGGGTTAACAGAACTGGCGTTAAAACCAATATCACTGAGGTAAACGTAAATCATATATATATATATATATATATATATATATATATATATATATATATATATATATATATATATATATATATATATATATATTCATTATTGTTTTAATTTTTGAATTATGTTGTCATTGTTATTGATAAATTTCCTGTTTGGACCAGAATTTCACTCGACAAAGCAAGTTCACATATGGAATTGTAATGGAAGAGATCACAGCACGTGATGAAAGTAGTTATATTTCTTGAAATGGGCAGATGGTTTTGCCGAGTGGTGGTATTAGTGCAATTGTTGGGGTTGGAGCTTCCATGGAAGGGTGATTCAATGTGATCTGTCTTGAAAATCTGAGACCATATGTACGGGAGTTTATGGCTGATGACCCACAAAGGAGGCTTGCTCTTGTGAAACCAAAGCTACCCAATGACAGATCTCCACCAGGGTTTCTAGGGTTTGCTGTAAATATGATCCATATTGATGTTCCACATCTGTCTTCTCTCACAAGAAATGGATATGGTCTTAGAGAGACTCTTTTTTATAGTCTCTTCTCAAGGCTACAGGTTTACAGAAGCAGAGCACATATGCTACAGGCAGTCCCTTGTATATCTGATGGAGCCATATCACTTGATGGTGGGATGATAAGGAGCAATGGTGTCTTTGTTTCTGTCAATCGGTAAGAAATTAGACATATTTTTGTTTGTTTATCAAGATATATTAAATTCTTAGTTTGGTTGTTTGTTCATCGGATAGGGAGAAGGAGATGGATGTTAGATTTGCAATAAGTAATTGTCAAGATATATTAAATTCTTAGTTATCAAGATATATTAAATTCTTAGTTATCAAGATATATGTTTGGTCTGAATTGGACAAGGAAATTACAATTCTTTGTCCCACCTAATAAAAATGCGACATGGGCATCTCTCATCTGTGTAAAAGACGAGAATACCCTTGCAACAACCAAGAATAAAGTTAGTTTTTTTTGGTGTGTGGGATGATCATTGATTAACTTAATAATTAATGTTGGTTTGAATTGGTAGCTATTGTATCAGGTGGACAGCACAAGACAAAATCAAAACGCTGAGGGAAGCGGGTGTGACAGTGGTGGAATCACCAACAAAGATTGGAGTTGCTACGCTTGAGGTTTTTAAACAGAGGGGTCTTGTTTGAGTGAAGACCATGTATTAAGAAGAACAGGAAGAAACCATTTTAAGTTCAGAATAACGAAGATAAACACCCAGGAGAGTTTATATGGTTGGATTTTAACCTTGTTGAGTTTATATGGTTGGATTTCAGTTCAGAAGAAACCATTTTCACCTACTTTGCACTCACACAGGTACCTCCATTGTTCCTGGATATACACCGAGACCATTTTGCACTCACACAGGTACACTTTTACCCTTACTTTCCATTCCAATAAAACTTTTTTTTAACAATATTCATCAATTTTAGGAAGGGAAAATTGGTAAAAGGTTGGTCTATGTGTGTGTTATCCAGTTCCAAAAAATGTAGATTGCTATTTCTTGTAACTAGTTCTAAAAAAATGGTTATCTTAATTTACTTTTTCTTTTCTTTTTGATGAATTTTATTTCAGAAATACATAGTTGTTGTCATATGTTTTATTAAAACGCTCAGACGACGCTCTAAAAAATAGTTATTGTTGAGGTTATAGACTGATAGTCTTATGCTTTATTAAATCTGGGGGATTAGGTTTGAAGAGGAAATTACCAGAGGGAGAGGGAGAGGGAGAAGGATCCCAATTGAAAAATCATATGAAACATGTTCATTATATCTTTCCCAATAATAATATTTAGATGCACATTAATGACATTGATGGGAGTATTTTGTTTGAAGGTCTTCAACCTTCACAAACAATGATTGGACACTTAGTAGAAATGGAGGTATTAGACCAAAGTACTTCAATTGCGATTTTTATACATACATGTTCCTGTTCATTAAACCAAAGTATTTATGGTGTCAGGTTACTTCAGTGATAATTGTAGTTGGTATTGACCATTGACTATTGATTGACTTACTTTTTTCTGTTTGATGCAGATTCAACTGGTAGGGATATTGTTAATTTTTCAAAGTAAAAAAAAGGGTTGATTGATCGAGAAAAAAGAAAACACGAACACTCCATGGCTAATAAGAATAAAAAAATAAAGATATGGGGCAAAAAAGGTAAAACAAACTCGTATGTATGAATATGATTTGTATGGTAATTAAATTTATAGTGTATGTATGTTTTGGTTTGGATGCAGTCTTTGTTTGGCAGCTTGGACAAACTTTGTAGCACCTGATCGTCCATGCCACTCTTGGTAAAAGAAATTTATAGTGTACTTTTTCCATTCATGTTTGTAATTTCTCATTATGATGTGTTGTTTCTTGCGCAATTTTATTTTTAGGAGGTGTTTTACTTTATTAAATGTTTAAAGTTACAGGACATGAGTATGGGCACATCATGGAACATTTTAGGCCAGTTGTTGGTTTTCCTTTTGGTGATCCATCAATGAAGTGGCCAACATCATGTAATAACATTTTAGGGGAAGATGTAGGTATATGTTTTTTAATGAATAATGTAATCATATGTATGAATATGAAATAAAGTTTGTTATTTGTATGACACTAAATTTTATGCAATGGATTGTATTTTTTGTATATAGTATTTTATTTTCTGTTATGAGACATTAAATGCAAATTTAATTTGAAAATTAGTAAATCTGTAAATAATATTTTTTTTATTAACATTTAAAATTATGATACGCAAAAATGTTTGTCATCTTCATATATGACATGACCTTTCTTGATAGGGGTTTCCTTGATACGCATTGCGTGTCATCTATATACGACGCGCAAAAGCGTGTCGTCTCTCTTTATGATAGGGCCTTTCTTGACGCGCATTTGCGCGTCGTTTGAGCGTTTTACGACGCACAATGACTGTCGTAAAAGTCTGTTTTTCTAGTAGTGAACAGAGTTAATCACAGTTCAAATCTTTTCCTTATTTACTATCAGGAGGCTTCTGGAAACCCCATAATCCCTCCTAATTTTGTCCACCAACTATATGGGTTCTAGAATCTTCATTCATTGCTCTGAACAATTACAATTCAATCCTTAGACCTTTAATTAATTTCAATTAATCTTGAATTAATTTCAGATTAATTTTGATTAATAAATAATTAATTCCTATTGGTTTCAAATTAATTTATTAATCATATAAATTAACAAATCAATTATTTAACAATTAATTTATTAATCACATAATTAATTAACAAACCAATTATCTATTTCTAATTAATATATTAATCACATAATATATTAACAAATTATTTCCTCATAATTTCCAATTAGTTTATCAATCATATAATAATATAATAATTTATCCTCTCTCTACAAATATCATTCTAACCAAGCTTTAGTTACAAGGGTAACCTCAAAATGACTTTGTTTCTAATTAGAAGATTATACCAATTTAGTAATTGGCATAGACACTTTAATCGAACTGTAATATTGGTATGTAATATGCATATATGAATATACGTAATTTTATATTCACATATGAATATCACATCTCTCTGTCATGTTGGTACTCAGAAGCGTTTTTGCGGCTTTAAATAAATGTGCGGCCATATTCATTCTCGCATTGTCACCCTTTATTTCTTCTGAACTGAAATTATATATATATATATATATATATATATATATATATATATATATATATATATATATATATATATCATACATAGTTATAAAGCTAGCATTTTTTCTTAAATCTCATGTATTTGAAATCCCATTTTTTAACTTCCTCAAACCACATTAATTTGAAACTCCCTTTTTTTAACTAATACAACTCAAAAAATTTCTTAATTATGATTTAACACTCAAATTTTTTATAACTTATATTATGTTTAATTAGCATTTAGTGAAAAAATTACTATAAAAATATCGATATTTTGGGAAGACATGTATACAAATCTTATACAAATTTCAAAAAGAAAACAAACTTAAAGGTTTCTGTGTTGGGTTGAGGTATTATGACTACTTTTGGAGATATGCTACTATATTAGAGCTTCAAATTTGTAAGCTTGTTATACTAATTCGTTTTTATATTTTCTTCATTTTTGGATTATTATAATACAATCGTTGTATATTATGGTTTAATCGTTAATATATTGATCATATGTTATATAGGATGATGTTGAAAATATTTAATTAAATATTTTAAATATGTGTTTTTTTTTTGTTTTGTAATTGTACCGTTTCAAAAAAGATAATTAATTAAAACTCATATATATGTTATTATACTTTGCATCTCTCTCTCACTATATATATATATATATATATATATATATATATATATATATATATATAATACAGGTCAAAACACTTCAACCAAAACTTCATTTAAAATCTAATATTTCAAATGCTTTTTAATAATAATTATAAAAAGTTCAACATGTGTTACTTAATTGATTAAATAATAAAAATATTAATGTTTTGAAACTCCTGACTCTTAAACTTATATTATTTAATTTGTTAATTAACTAAAATATTTTTACTACATAAAGATATTTTGTTACTCATATTTGTTTATGTAATTAGAAAACAAGGTGTATATAGAATGACTACTAAGACATGCATACAAATCATATACAAATTTAAAAAACAAACTTAAATGTTTTTGTGTTGGGTTGAGGTCTTATGACCACTTTTGGAGATATGTTATTATATTAAAGCGTTTAATTTGTATGTTTGTTATACTAATTCGTTTTTATATTTTCTTCGTTTTTGGATTATTGTAATACAGTTGTTGTACATTATGGTTTAATCGTTAATTTATCGATCATATGATATATAGGGTGATGTAGAAAATATTTAATTCAATATTTTAAATATGTTTTTTTAGTTTTGTTATTATACCATTTCAAAAAGATAATTAATTAAAACTTATACATATATTATACTTTGAATCTCTCTCTCTCTCTCTCTGTATATATATATATATATATATATATATATATATATATGTGTGTGTGTGTGTGTGTGTGTGTGTGTGTGTTATAATAGAGTTCAAAACACTTCAACTAAAATTCATTTAAAATCTAATATTTCAAATGTTTTTTAATAATGATTATAAATTGTTGAACATATGTTACTTAATTTATTGAATAATAAAAATATTAATGTTTTGAAACTCCTAACTCTTAAACATATATTATTTAATTTGTTAATTACCTAAAAAAATTTCTACATAAAGATAACATTTTTATGTTTGGTTACTCATATTTGTTTATGTAATTAGAAAATAAGGTGTACATAGAATGACTACTAAGACATGCATACAAATCATATACAAATTTCAAAAAACAAACTTAACGGTTTTTGTGTTGGGTTGTGGTTTTATAACCACTTTTTGAGATATGTTATTATATTAGAGCTTTTAATTTGTAAGTTTTTTATACTAATTCATTTTTATATTTTCTTCGTTTTTGGATTATTGTAATGCAGTCGTTGTACATTACGATTTAATCGTTAATATATTGATCATATGTTATATAGGGTGATGTCGAAAGTATTTAATTAAATATTTTAAATATTTTTTTGTTTTGTAATTATACCGTTTCATAAAGATAATTAATTAAAACTCATACATATGTTATACTTTCAATCTCTCTCTCTCTCTCTCTCTCTATATATATATATATATATATATATATATATATATATATATATATATATATTATAATAGAGGTCAAAACACTTCAACCAAAATTCATTTAAAATCTAATATTTCAAATGCTTTTTAATAATGATTATAAAATGTTCAACATGTGTTACTTAATTGATTGATTAATAAAAATATTAATATTTTGAAACTCCTAACTCTTAAACTTATATTATTTAATTCGTTAGTTAACTAAAATGTTTTTCTTGTATAAAGATAACATTTTTATGTTTGGTTAGTCATATTTGTTTATGTAATTAGAAAACAAGGTGTACATAGAATAACTACTTCAATTTCATATAGGAATCGATACCAGTAGAGAGGTATGTTGTCTTTAACCGGTGATAGAAGATCCACATACTCTTTTTAATTGTTTATATTAATGCATAGTAATATCTATTTTATATTCCTATTCACCTTAATTTTTTAGGTACAAATTAAGGAAGAGGAGTCTCGGTGCACCAACATATAGTTAATCGTATGCCTTGCAAAATATGTAATTAAAATTAAATATCATATTTACTAATCGACTTATTTTAAAACTCTTGATGACATTTATGTATAATGATATATTTAGTATGACTTTATTCTTAATTTCAGTGTTTAAAATTTGAAAGTTCATATATGAAACCTTGGATGTGTTGATGTAATATAAATAGTATTGTTTATTAATAGCTCATTCAAAACAACTTATTTCTTATTTTATCCAAAAAATACTATCAGACATAAGAAAAATAGATTATATTAATGTTATACAAAAACTTATAATATATATTAGATATTATAAAAGTAAAAGTAAAGTTTATAAGGTATGGACTATATTAGACAATATCAAAATATAAGTTGATGGATTTTTATGTTATATGATAATTCGGTTAATGCCCAAAACATGACTAACGATGTAAATTTCAACATATTTCTATTTTTTCCCATAATTATTTTAACCACTAAAATGCATTCTTGCGCAACGCGCGAGGTTATGCTAAGTATCTTATAAAACTAACATTTTTCCTTGAACCTCATGTATTTGAAACTTCCATGCATTTTTCCTTTCACCATATTCATTTGAAACTCCCAAGACTTTTCAATTTCATTCTAATAATAATTATAATTGGTTAGCAAGGTTAAATAAATATCAAACCTAAAGTATAATCATATATAAACTAAATTTCAATATTAAAATAGTATCTTTACTTCTGTTTATAAAGTTATGGTTTTTAACTTTTATCATATTATACTTAATTTATTAGTGTTAGTATATTGTTGGATGTAAACCATTATCATTTTAAAGATACAAATTTGGAACAATTTGTTTACCTTAAACAATCCATAAAATATTTTGTAAATAGTTAAAAGTGATAAATTGTAGTGTCTTTCTAATAATGATTATAAATTGGTTAATAGTGTTAAATAAATATCAAACCTAAAGTATAATCATAACTAAACTAAATTTCAATTTTAAAATAATATCTTTACAAGTTATGTTTTTAACTTTTAACATATTATACTTAATTTATTAGATTTAAAATGTTGTTGTATGACGATCATCAGTTTAAAGCTACAACTTTTGAACAGTTTAAACAAAAATACTTAAACTGGTAATTTAAATATAACATTACAGTGTCAACTTAAATATGTATTTAATTTTCACTTAAAAAACCAAAGAATATTTTGTAAATAGTTAAAAGTGATAAACTGTAGTGATAAATGCAAAAACTAAACTGTAATCTCAATTTAACTAAAAAATATCCGAAATATATTTTTATAATCGTTAAAAGTTTTCAAATAAGTAGCTTAAAATAACTTACAGTAACAATAGTTAAAAATAACTCTATATAAATGATTATATTGTTACAATTAAATTCAAAAAACAATGTTTAATGTTTTATATAATTATAATGATATAGATTAAAACATTAAGCAAAT